CCCCCCAGGGGCTGTTCCAAAGGCTTCCATATGTTAAAACAGAATCTTCACATAACCCTATTGAATACGCATAGATACTATTTTATAGATGAGGAAACCAAGGTGCAGAAAAATCAGGTTATTTGACCCAAGTAAATAGCAAAGCTTAGTTTTGAACTTGAGGCAGTCTGGTTCTAGAGTCTGTGTACAAAATACTTTTCTATGTCGCCTTTTGGTATATCTAGTAGAATAGAGCATAACAGAGCCTCTTGAACATGCATGTGAATCACCTGGAGATCTTGTTAGAATGCAGATTTTGATTCAGTAATTCTGGGTAGGATTCTATATTACTAACAAGCTCCCAGTCATGCTGATCATGACAGCCTTCAAATCACACTTTGGGTAGGAAGGTAGTATAGTATAGTTTGGCATAGTGAAATAGAGTATAGTTTAGAAGAGTATTACATCATATGATATGTAGTCATGTGTTGTTTAATGACGGGGATACATTCTGAGAAATGCATTGTTAGGAGATTTTGTTGTGTGTGAACATCATAGAGCGAAGTTACACAAACCTAGATGGTATAGCTGACTACGGTAATTGTAGGTGTTATATTGGGTTGTCGGAAAAGTCATGACGCAGTTTTGCAATGAAAAACAGAAAAATAAGTCATGACTTCCAACAGCCCAATATTTTCATAGGACTGGTGTCACAGGAGGCTTGTGAGTAATTGTAGTGTAAGCTCTGATACTTGGCTTTTCTATTTGTAATGCAAGTGCTTGACTTAAAAACTTTGATTGGTGAGGCATCCATTTTAAATAGGCATCTGCTTCAATGAAGGCCTTATCTTGAATAAACACATTGCCAGCTACGCAAGATACCCTTCTGAGGCTACTTTGTTTTAGAGATCTTGCTTGATTTCCATAACTGACCATTTGGGCTACTTGTTGTTTTCTCTGCTTGCACTTTAAGTTCACCCTCTTACGTTTTCAATTCACCAATAATGAGCTGCAGAACCTTAGCCCATCCCCACTCACGCTTGATCCCAATAAGAGCAGAACGCAAGGCCCCTGAATTCTCCCTCTACCTGTGACCTCACTGTGTGCACCCTGGTGTGTGCCTTGTACACTCCAGGGCCTGTAAGTAATAAACTCTTCTTTTCTTCAAAGTTTCTTAATGGTTGTTGCTAAAGGGCATCTTGCTATTGTAATAAGAACCAAAGGGTTGGTTCAGTTGTAGCATTGGTTTAGAAAGAGGAGATGTTCCCCAGTAGGAAGCTTACTGGGGCCTAGGTGAGTGCCCCCGGGCATTTTTAGTGATAGCATTGCTATCCATAAACTGAGATCAGTACAAAGCGGTAACACATTGCACTATGATCTTACACGATGGCTATGACATCACTAGGCAATAGGGATTTTCAGCTCCACTATAGTCTTCTGGGATCACAGTTGTACATATAGTCTGTTGACCAAAATGTCTATATGTGGTCTGTTGACCGAAATGTCTTTATGAGCTGCATGATAGTAGTACAGTATAGAATAGCATAGAATGTCATCAAATGGTATAATATGGTATAGTAATGTATAGCATGGTAAATTATAGTATAGAATGGAATCATATAGAAGAGTACATAATGGAACCCATTAAGTCCCTTATTCCCTACATCAGCCCCATGTGAAGCAGATGTTGTTATTATGATACCCAATTTCTACATGAGAAAAGTAGGAGATGTTCAAAAACACAGATGGGAAATAATGGATGTAGGGTTTCGTGTCAAAAACTGGAGTCAATATTCTAGAGTATTGAATTAATATTTTTGTTTATACTGCCTAAAGAATATCAGTACTTTGCAGTGTCTTTGGTGAATTCAAAAATCAATTGAAAAGAGTACGTGTGTAACATTATTTGTTAAGTAAGCATAGATTATGGGATGTCCTGCATTAAGCAGTTCATTCTTCAGGAATCAAAGTTCTATTTTCTTTGTTTATATTCACCTAGGTATTATCAGGGGGGAAGAAAAGAGAAAAAGGATTCCAGCTTCTCTTTTCAGTTCATTTTGCACCATGTAGTAAATTCGGATTTATATTTATCTACAGCTTTGTCATTGACTTTTTTGATGAAATTAGCTGGATACTTTAATAATAGTTGGAACCTAATTAATTCTAGGATTCTAGAACCATAAAGCTGAATCATAAAGACCTTAGAGGTTATCTAGCAAGGCTCAGACCTCTCTATTAACAGGGAAAGGAAATGCTCCTTGCATTATAGAATAAAGCCAGCTGAAAATGTTCCTGGGGAAAATGTAAATTAGAAATGTTGAAATAATATACCATACTGCAAAAAGGAAATTCCTTTTTTCTGAAATTAGATCTGGTATAGAAATTGGATTTACATCTGTGAAAACTTTCGGTGAATTTCAATTAGAGATTTAAAAATCAAAACAAAACCAAGATGTTTTATATAAAAGGAAGAGAGGAAGGCATTTTCTATCTTGGCAACTCCAGAAATATGTTTGGTCAGCTAACATGGCATATGATATGGGGGTTGGAAAACTCATGGCTCAGCCCTGGATCTCAGATCCCTGAGAAACTTTAAACCACTGTTTACGACCCATTTCACTGGTGAAAGTCCGGTATTTGTTTATTTTCCTCAAAATTGCCCCCCAACCTCTGTAGTTTTACTTTTATAGACTCTGAGCCAATATTCCAGTGTGTGCTGGTCTAAGGAGAAAATGTCCACACATCTGGGCTTGCCCTAGACAGTTCTAAATTATGTTGGTCGTTCAGAAGTAGTTAAGAATAGCAGCCCTTTTATGGTGATGTTACATTTTAACTCATTTATTCAGATACTAACCCAGGTGCACCTGTGGCCATCAACTTTTGCCTCCTCAGTGAAATGTTGTGGATATTCTTATTATTCACCTGTGAGTGAGTGGGTATAGCCTGAAAGATCAGTGGGCGTTCAACTTCTAGCTACACCCTTCCAGCAGGGCTTAAAGGTTTTTGTAAGTTATATAAAAGTCTCACCACTGTGCTGTATACCTGAAACTAGCATAATATTGAATGTCCACTGTCACTGAAAAAAATACATAAGAAGTCCATCATGTTTGTTATCCATCAATATTGGAAAGTTGTATATTAAGAAATATTTAAATTAGTACAAATTACAATAATGACAAATCTTTAAGAAAAGTTTTCAGGTAGAAGAAACAGGAAGTTAGAAGTGTTTGTCAGTCCTGATCCTTTCTAATATGTTTCCCTGAAAAAAGGTCTATGTGTAGGTGGCAAATGAGGAAGAAAACTTCCAGAGGAAAAGGAAATAGTAAGCTCGTGCTGAAAGAGACTCAAGACTCATTTATATTCCCTTCTTAATTCATTTGCCAAACATTTAATGAGCATCCATATTAGGCACTGGGAAAGTAAGATGACATTGTCTGTACTTTCAAGGAATCCTGTTTAGTGGGAGAGAATGTCAAGTAAAGTAACAATGGAGGGCCGGCCGAGTGGCGCGTTGGTTAGGAGTTGGCTTGGGACACCAGCTCTGAGCAGCAGGGCCCAGGTTCGGATCCCACATGAGGGCCAGTGATGCTGCGCCCTCTACAGCTAGGATGGTGAACAGCAACGCGACCTGGTGCTGGGCTGCCATTGAGTCGCTGGCGATGGCATAGGCTGCAGTGGGGCTGGCTGGCAGCTGGTGTGTGCTTCCATGAGCTGCCATGAGCCGCCGTGAGCTGCCATCCAATGGCCGGCGAGTGACTGCCTCACTGGGGAAGAGCACAATGATGGAACCAACATGGGCCAGTGAAGCGACATCCTCCACAACTAGACTGAAGAACAAAAGGACAGCAACTTGTCTGTTGCCCTTCCCCGAGTCCCCAGCGCTGTTCACCTCCCCCAATTGCCCAATAAAATCTTAAAAAAAAAAAGTAACAATGGACAATCAGGGACATTTGATAATTCAACCTGAGAAGTTGGGGACATGAGTCAGGAAGAGCTTGGGGTGGGGGGTTACTTGAACTGTTACTTGAAAGACATGTATGAGTTAACCAGGTTGGGGTGGAGGGGATGGGAAAGGACACTTCAGGTAGAGGCCATAGGATCAGCAGAGGCGTAGAGGTATGAAATAGTATATAATGTATTGGTTAGCTTTTGTTGTGTAACAAACCATCCTTGAAATTAAACAACAACCATTATTTAGGTGACACTTCTGTGGATTGTCTGGGGGTTCTTCTTTCAGGGCAAGCTGGTCATGCATCTATAGATAATTAATTTATTTTTTTTCTCCTCCACCTTCAAAGGATGCAGCATTGACTTGTCTGTAGGAATTGATATCTCCAGTCCCACAAGGCAAATTCAGAAGCTTCAAGGGTTACTGCCAGAGCTGATGCAACAGTTGGCCTTGCTTTCTAACATCAGCTGTAGCGTTCCTGGTCAGAGCAACATAATGTTTCGCTACCTGGTTCCTGGCTCAAATGGTCAGGCTATCTTTGACTCAGGCTTTGGGGAGTATAGTGATCAGACCATTCAGACATTCTTGGTTCATCAGGCTGCCAGGAGCAACCACATGGACGTGGAATTTTTGCAGTTCCTGGGCAATAACGCTATCCGCCTCTCTTCTGCTAAAGTGAAGGTAATAATGCTGAGAACCCATGTAATGGAGCCATCAGGCAGACTCAGGGAGGAGGGATAAGGCTTTTGTGACTGAGGCCAACTAAACTGTTTTTCACTAGAGATCACACATAGAGGAAAAACCATATTTTTATCCAGTAAAGACCAACAAAAAAATGTACTTACATTCCGTCAACAAATATTTACTAAGTCCTAGAGGCTCTATGCTGAATAATGCCACTAGGATTGAAAGGATAAAGTCCCCGCCCTCAAGTTGCCCACAGTTTAGTGATCCAGATTCTTCCATGGAATAATGCAATCCAAAGATCACTGGAAGATATTTCAAGACTCCCTAGGTCCTATGGTCACTGATTGCCATGTAGAGTAGGGCCCATTTTTTTTTTCCAGTCAGCACCTTGAACTGTCTTTAGTGACAGCTAATAGCTACCTTGGGAAGCCCTCCTCGTCCCTTCTTGATGCCCCCAAACTTTACACCCACAAAAGTCCACAGAGATTGCAAGGTCTCATGTGATGTTTATTAAGAAATGACATCCCCAAGCTTTGAAAGTTACATTTAGTTTTTCCTTCAGTCATACATTCAATGAATTCATTTTTTGACTAGTATAATTCACTTTTTAAAATTCAAATTTTTCCTGAGTAAAGGTAACACATTTTAATTGTAGAAAATGCAATACATTTTTGACATTGATAAAGATGAATATTGTAAGACCATTTTTAGGAGATATTTTTAAGTGAACATGTTAAGCTGGTTTAAATTCTTCTCCGTTTTATTCCTCCTCCTCTCATCTTCTTTTTGGTGGGGAGAAAGTTGAAGTCAAAGTGAATGTATAATAAAATGCATAATCAATGAGTGACAGGGAACAGGGTGAAAGGCTGGATAAAGCCAGGAAAGTTAAGCTTACCCTTGCATTTTAAAGAAATGTGCAACTTATAGCATCTACCTTCTCCATTCCCTTTTGCCTCTCCCCTTCTTTCTGTTCCCTTCCCCTCTGCCTCCTTCCCCATCCCCCTCCCTCCCGAACGTCCTTCCCCCAAACAACAGGTCCTTTTGGTGTTTACTGATGGACTGGATGATGATTTAGAGAGACTGAAGGACGCATCTGAGCTTCTCCGAGGCAAAGGTAAATGCGCAAAGTTGACCTGCACGGGCCTGATTCCTCTCACAGGGGCTGAGATACACTCTCAGGTTTCCAAGTGGCACTGGACACTATTAAGCCTCCGGTATGCCAACCCAAGTGATAGGAGCTCAGTGCCCCCCAGAATGAAACCCAGTCTCCCTCTTTGTATGAATTGGGCCTGTTCAGTGCTGAAAGAGTCCCGGGGACCCACATCCCTGACACTGACCAAGGGCCTGTCTGAGATAGGACTGACCAATTACCAGCTTGGTAGGGGGCGAGGTGAAGGTGCAACTCTTGCTTCATGGGAAGTGTGTGTGCTCTTTGCCCTTTCAGGCTACCTAGGGGTCCATATGTCTCTTTTTCCTAAACTCTGGAATCTGCCTAAATCTGGGCCTTGCTCTTTCCACTGCCCTTCCTCCTTCGTTTGCTCCCTAATTCTTCCTTCTTCTCCATCTCCAAGGGCTGCTGCTAGTTGATATGACATATTTGTGAAATTAGAAAAGATGCCCAATGCTGTGGGTGGATGCAACTCCGTGCCGAGGCACCTGGCTTGGTGAGTGGTGTGCTCGCTGTATTTCAGCACCCACCAGCTCCCTCAGCTGGGTGACCTAGGGCAGAACCACCTGTACAGCTGTGCCTGTTTGCTCTGGCCATCCCCGGTTTGTGCCCCATAAAGGCTGTAAAGGAAACTCAGGATGAGCAACCAGCAACTTGATTTGTTAAAGCTCCCTTCACCCTTCTCCCTCCTTGGTGGAGTATATTCAACACTTTCTTCTGGGGATGATGGTTTTCCCTTAGTTTATAATGTGTTGGAATATTTTTTTATAATGACTTGCTCCCAACTAAATTTATCACCTAGATCGCCACTGGAAATTTAAATTGTTGCACCTTTTCTGGAATGGAATTGGGAATGTATGACAAAAGACTGCAAACTTGGCCTGTGTGCCAGATCAGCAATTCCATTTCCAGGAATTTATTTCCAGGGATAATTAAGAATGTGCACAACAACTTTAAACCACAAGATTGTTAAGCAGCTTTTTTTTTTTCTATAGTAAAAAGCTGATGTGTGTGGGTATATTTGTGTGTGAATTTACTATTCAAAATAGTAACACTAATATTTGTTCTGAAATTCTACAAACAGTGATTTCTAGCCAAATTTCAAAAGTATCTTTGTCCATTTGTCCTCTGTCACATGGATAAATCCAGAAGATCTTTTAGTGCCTGGTTCAGGAGAATAGGCTAAGTTTTACAGTAACACCAAACAACTTCCAAACTCAGTGGCCTAAAGTAGCAAGAATATATTCATTTCATGCCTCATGCCTGCTCATCTATGCCCCCTGCTCATCACTTAAGGACTGAGGCTGAACGAGGGGTCTATTCCTATGGCGGATGAAAGGAAATGGGCAAATTATGCACTACTCTTAAAATTTCTCCCTGGAAGTGAAACATGTCACTTCTACACACATTTAATTGGTTAGAGCAAGCCATATAGTCAGTTCTTGCTTTCATGAGATAGATGATATTTTTACTGGTAAGGAACTGAAGCTTAATGAGAGTTTATAACTTTCCCGAAGTAGTAAAATTATATATATCATGTGCTGATTGCCACAGTTTCTGAGAGTAAACCACAAACCTACTTCAGGAATGGTTTCTAAGGATTAACTTAACGCAATCATGGGTGAAAAATCTCTCTGAAATAACAAGTAGGAGTAAGAGAGCTCTGAGAGTCTTTTGTGGTTTTACCTAAATGCTTAACTTTCAGCTTGTGGGATTGAAAGTTATCAGACCAGTTCTTCAAGAGAGAATGCCATGAGCCTGTTTTGATTTTAACAAAAATGTTTGTGGTAAGACAGATGAAGGAATAGGGAAGTTGGGATGATGGATGAATAACTGGGTCCAAGACAAAGACAGAACATTCCAAAGGCATGCAGGTAAATTGCCCACCTGTTGATATCTTGAAGGATTCTCTGGACTCCTCATTATTGGCTTGGAAGGTGTGCATAAATTAGAAGAGCTTCAGGAGCTAGAATTTGGCAGAGGATTTGCATATAATCAACCTCTGAGCATCACACAGCAGTCCCTCCCAAGCATCTTACTGAAGCAACTTGTAAGTATATATTTTTTAACACTTTCCTTCACTGGGTCTCTTAATTCTAATAATTTTTAGAACCCTGAGATAATTTTGCCTCTTTAGCGTATTATGTGATGCAGGTTAAGAGATGAAAAAAAATGTGACGGGGATTCTGTCTTTCAGGACACAGTTGTAGAAAGAACATGCTGCAATATGTATGCAAAGTGTCTTGGAGAACGTGGGCACAGAGGTGATGGTGGGAGCCCTGGGAGGAAGGTGAGAATTTGTTGGGTGTGGATGGGGGAGGGAGAGAGATGACATTTCAGGTAGATGATTGTAGATGACTACGTGTCAGGCTCTGTGTTATGTCTTTAACACACTTTTTCTAATTCTATCCTCTTAACAAACCTTGGAGGTAAATGTTATTTTCCAGGTCTGAAACACACTCAGAGAGGGAACATCACTTTCCCAAAGTTGCACAGTTATGAAGAGGCACTTTTGAATTGAAGACCCTATGTCCACCTGATTCCACGTCTCACATTCTTTCCACTATATTATGCTGCTACTTACATGTATTTGACAAATACATTCATAGTCTCTCACTGAACAGAAGTTTTTACTTGTCTACATGATTTTCACTTGTCTAACATTTGCTTACTTTACAGTAGTCAATGTCCCTTTCTCTCCTACCTAACATCCTATTCTATAGCATTACACTCGCTGGTTCACTCGTGGTTAACTCTAGGGTTAAGGGATAGGAAAATTACTATTTCACAGTTTTAAGGGAGAATAGCTCATTAGAAATGGTCCTAAGGTGTCCAGGGACACAAGGTTCCATTCTCAGCTTCACGATGGGGGTATAATCACAAGTCCACATGGAAGGCTGAATCAAACCGCTTGGCTTTGCTCACCTTTTTACATTCTCTCTTTGTAAGATTTTCCATCAGGTTGTTGGAATGAGGTCTTATTGACTATGCAGATCAATCTTAATTTAGAATGATGTCAAGTATATAATTACTTTTTGAAAAATAAATTGTAGTTATGCATTAGCACTGGATTGTTTCCCCCCTCATGTTGTTCTTAAATATCTGACTGGAGAATCAGAAAATCAAACTTGGGAACCTCTTGACTTTTTTTCTTTTTTCTTTTTTGGCAGGTTAGGGACTATGTCTCAAAGGCTAAAGATGAGAATGTTTTGAATTTTTGACTTCTCTGCTCCTTCTGTTTGTTAGAATTCAGTGGTTGGTTGTAATGACTTTCATATCTTTGTTGATCACAAGTAGACTATGGCTCCCATATCTCATTGACCAATTTGTAGTCTAAATAAACACATCTGGCTATAAAATGTCAAGCCAAACTCCCTTGAGAGGAAATGGTTTGTGTGTTTAGTATCTAAGAAGAAGTAAAAAAAGAGAGAGAGGGAGAGAGAATGAGACTAAATAGCTGAGTCATACAGAAATAAACAGCCTTCTCTCTTAAGTAGTAGAGATGGTAACACCTTTGTTTACTGACATTTTGTATAACAAGGTCAAAGGCCTCTTTAAGAATAACAGTCTTCCTTAAACATTTAACTAGTTTTGTTTTGGATTTTCATAATAGAATGGCTTGAAAAGGTAGTTTAGAAAAATGAAAGTAGGTGGTTGTTATTAAGACAAACAGGTATTCAAGTTTTCATTGTAAGACAGGCCAAGAATACTTATTTCTATATGTCTTTGCGTGTGGTGCTCAACAGTCAATAGATTCTCAGTAAAATGCCAACTCAGTGAGACAGGGATACCAATTAGTAACAATTTTTGTTTCACGTAGATTTGAGAAATGAAGAATTTACAGTCCAAATTATTTATTTTGATTTTTTTTTCTCCTCAGGGACAGAAGGGTTCTGGTGGATTACCTGGTCATCCTGGTGAAGAAGGTGGACATGTAAGTACTAAATGTTATTTTTTTTTAAAAGAATATGGTCCAATGGGTTTATTATCAGCAATATGTAATTGTACTTAAGTCATGACATTTTTTTCTCGTCTATGCCATTTAAAACGGGTTTAAAATATCTACATAAAAGTTCTCATTTATTGTAACAAATGTCAGGTGAACAAACTTTGTAAATATATAGTCTCTAAAAGATATTTAATGAGGAAATATCGTCATTTTGTTTTTTAATCAGTGAATTTGAGATAACTGAAAATGTGGTCTGTGTCTAATGTGCGTGCATAATCGAGAGCTAAATTTCAGAATTTGTTACTGTTAATGAGGTAGCCATGTCTGTAAGTGGTTTAACAAAATAGATTGAAGAGAATCAAGGCCATTCTTAGAACAAGATCACTCAGATGTCTTCCAGGATGGCTGAAAGGTGAGGAGCTATAGTTATCTACTGATGGCTTGTGTATAACCCTGGATACTGTCCTGGACAATGGAAAGTTATCTATCATGTGATTGGCTGTGGTGAAAAAAAATATAAAGAGAATTGTTAGCTAGGGTATCGAAATATGGTAGGGATCATCTTTATTACATCATGTAAATACCAAAAGGATTACATTGTGAAAACCACTTTGCCATAGGCGTGTGTTTTAAAGTGATTTGTATATTCGCTGGTTCTCAAACTTTTTTGTCTCAGGGTACCTTTATACTCTCAAAGATTACTGAGGACCTTGATGAGGTTTTGTTGATATTTCTGTCTATTGATGTTTACCACATTAGAAATTAAAACTAAGAGAATTTAAAATGTTTATTTATTTTATTTCAAAATAGCACAAATAAACCCTTGACATAAATTACATTCCTTTATAAAAAAATAATGATATTTTCCACAACAAAATATATTAGTGAGGGGAGTGGCATTTTAAAACATATTTTCAAATATCTTTAATGGCTAGCTTATTATAGCTTCTTAGAAGACAGCTAGAGTCATATATCTGTTTTTATATTCAATTTATTGTGATATCTCTTGCTCTGTGGCTCTTTATAAAAACTCTACTGTACACTTGGGAGAGAATAAGAGTAAAAAAAAAAAGTAACATTTTAGTATAATCAGGAAAATAGTTTTAATTTTGTGAGCACCCCCTCCCAAAGGGTCTTGGGGACCTGAGGAGTCCTTGGACCAAACTTTTCAAACTACTGTTATATGTAAGCATTAATGTTCTCATTGGTCCACCTAGAGTAGCACATCATTTTATTATTCTGAACATTTATGCTGCCTGAACATGGAAAATAAGCAGAAATTAGAGAAAAATATAGCTCCTGAGACTTATATAAATTGATCCATCTCTTTGATATGTTTATGGGAGAATTGCTCAATTTATCTCTTTATTTTGCCTCAGTGAGGCATAGTATTAGGTGTTAGAAATACATTCACAAATACAAATTGTGAATTTTTGCTATTTTGCTTAGGAGTAGTGGACATATTCTTTCCCATTTTTATGATGTTTTAAAATGTCCTTTAAGTATTATTCTTTCTACTTGGTCTGTGGTTCAATGAGTCTGGCCAAAGTTAAGAGAATATTTTAAGGTCTGACCAACCCATCAGGGTCATTGACACCAATTTCAGACAACAGAATAAATAAGGCCATGTCAGTCTAGGGTGGAAGTTGATTTTGTCCCCCTCCTCTGCTGTCTTAACATCCGAAAACCAAGATATTTTCTAAAGACCTTCAAGTACAAAGCTAGAAATATGTGAGCAACATACGAGCAGCCCCACCCTTTTTCATGGCTTCCCTTTCTGTTATTTCAGTTACCTGTGGTCAACTATCCGAAATATTAAATGGAAAATTCCAGAAATGAACAATTCATACCTTTTAAATTCTGCACCATTCTGAGTTACGTGACAGAATTTCACACTGTCCCGAGAGACAGGAGACTCTTCCCTTGTCCAGCATCTCCACATTAGATGCTCCTGCCCGTTGGTCACTTAGTAACCCTCCCGATGATCAGATTGATTGTCGCAGTATCACAGTATTTGTGCTCAGCTAACCCTTATTTTACTTAATAATGGCCCCAGAGCACATGAGTAGTATGCTGGCTATTTGGATATGCCAAAGAGAAGTTGTAAGGTGCTACCTTTAAGTGAAAAGGTGGAAGTTCTTGATTTAATTAGGAAAGCAGAAAAATTGTGTGCTGAGGTTGCTAAGATTTATGGTAAGAATGAATCTTCTACCTGTGAAATTGTGAAGAAAGAAAAAGAAATTTGTGTTAGTTTTGCTGTCGCATCTCAAACTACAAACACATCTCATCAGATCGGCGTTTTGTCATCTCACATCATCACAAGAAGACAGGCGAGTGCAGTACAATATGATATTTTGATAGAGAGAGACCACATTCACATATCTTTTATTACAGTGTATCATTGTAATTTTTCTATTTTATTCTTATTGTTAATCTCTTACTATGCCTAATATATAAATTAAACTTTATCATAGGTATGTATGTATAGGAAAAAAATGTATATATAGGGTTTGGTACTATCTACAGTTTCAGGCACCCACTTGGGGTCTTGGAATGTATCCCCCTGGGGATAAGGGGAGGCTACTGTATACAATTTTATATAATTTAAAAATTTTATAGTAGCCACCTTAAAGAAAGTAAAAAGAAATAGGGGATGTAATATATTTTATTTGACCCAATATATCCAAAATATAATCATTTCAACATGTAATTAATATAAAAATTGATGAGCTATCTCACTTTTTAAAATATACTGTCTTTGAAGTCCAGTGTGCATTGTACACTCAGCACATCTCAATTTGGACTAGACCTGTCACAGCTCTAGCAGGTCTCATTTGCTTTTTACTGTATTTCTCACAAGACAAGGTGACTTTAAAATATGTTGTCCTCTGAATGGCTTTTAATGTCATCTCCCATCAAAGCAGGTCTGATTCGTCTGCTCAACAGTGGAGACATCTCTCTGCAGAGGTACAGGTTTCATAATGGGGCCCATAATTTGTAGGTTCAAATTGAAAAGTGTATAAGGACAAATTGAAAGTGTATAACACCCCGTAACTCCCCCACAAAAAAAAAAACCAACCCAAACTAAAACCTTTACTGTTGTAAAACAGCTATCATTTTTGTTAAGTTCTCAGACTCTGGGTGGAAAAAGTGAAAAGGGAACAGGGGGATGTCTAGGACTTTTTATTTGTTTTCATAATTTTCTTTTAAAAAATTTTAATTGAGGTAGAATACACATGATATAAAATTTACCATCTTAATCGTTTTTAAGTGTATAGTTCAGTTGTATTACGAACTTTCACACTGTTGTGCAGCAATCACCACCATTTATCTCTAGAACTTTTTCATCTTATAAAATTGGAACTCTGTACCCATTAAACACTAACTTCCCATTCCCCTCTTTCCCCAGCCCCTGGCAACCACCATTCTACTTTCTGTCTCTGTGAATTTTACCTCTCTACCTCATTAAGCAGAATCAAATAGTATTTGTCTTTTTGGTTATTTCACTTAGCATAATAGCTTCAAGGTTTATCCATGTTGTAGCATGTTAGAATCTCTCCTTCCTTTTTAAGGATGAA